ATTGCGGCTCCAGTGTCTATAAGGGCGTGAACAAAAACACCTTCCGCACAAACAGGCAGTAAATTAGCTGGATGAGACAGAGGTGTTGTAACGTTCCGACAACAAGCAGTTTCCCTTCCAAAAACGGCACCTTCTAGTTTTCCTAGTCCAGAGAGATCGGTGCGGGACGCAGGGGTGATGACATACACCGAAACGGTGACGGAGAACGGCGGCGAGATGAACGAGAAGGATAAGGCCCAGCATGAGACCGTGGAGGGGAGCGTGACCGACGAGAGGTGGACGGATACGGTGCGGGATCGTATTCACCGGGTCTCGGGCAAAGTCTTTCTCGTAAGCTGGGTAACCACGTCGTTCATCCTGCTGACGGCGGTGGCAGAAACGGGATATATGACCCTTTATGCCACAGTAGAAGCAGATGGAGCGCGGAGGACGCCATGTAGAATAGTGGCGTGGCCTTGGCACTTGCGTTGTCATTGCAGCCACATGGTCGCATCCGACGCCCACAGGCACGGTTGGAACTGGTGCGTGGGCCCACGATGCAACTTCTGCGTACGAAGGCACTGGGAAGCGCAGAGGAGACGGGGCATGTGCAGCGCTTGTCATTGATGCCAGTTCGTCCTTGATTATCTCACGCAGATTGGGAGGAGGTGTGCGGACAGACGCAATGGTTGGGTTGCCTGGAATATGGCCGTGAAGTTCTTCTCTGACAATTGTGCGGATAAGGGCCCGCAATTCATCCTCTCTGGTAAAGCGAGCGTCGCAGGAGGCGTGTGGAAGGCGCACGGAATGAAGCGCGTCCAGGCGTTGGCATGTAGTGATGAGGTCCCGGACGGTAGTTGGATTCTGGATCACGAGAGCATTGAAGGCCATAGAGTTGATACTTTTCAGTAGATGTCGGATGCGATCGGCCTCCGTCATGTCATTTTGTGCTCGGCGACAGAGAGCCAGAATATCTTCAATGTAGGACGTGTACGATTCGTCGTCCCCCTGGATGCGGGTGTCTAACTTTTGCTTCGCTACTCCAGAGCATCCTGCAGACGTGCCAAATACCTGACGGAGATGCCCCGTGAAGGCCGATCAATTGGAGAAGTCGCTCTCGTGGTTGTAATACCAGGTTTTAGCGACGCGATCGAGGTAAAAAGGAACGTGACGTGGCGCAGTTTGTGCGCCTCGTCCCAATAATTAGAAACGCTGGTTCGATCATAACTGTCCAGCCATTCTTCGACGTCTTCGTTGCAAAGTCCGGAAAATACTGGAGGGTCTTGATGAGAGGTACTCACGGTGTAGTGAAGCCTAAGTGGTTGAGAAGGAGCGGTTGCAGCAGCGTACGCGTTGGGTTCTGCCATCGCTGTTGCTTGAGGGCACAACCATCGACCAGACCGGAGCTCCAGGGGTGACGGGTAGAGCAGGAGCACGTGGGAACCAAAGCACGCTCCACCACTTATGAGTCCACGTACGGTACGGCAGTAACCAGGTTATCTTTTTAATCCAGACGCACGAGCCAGACAGCCAGCCCACGTGACATACGATGATGATCACTACAATGATGGTTTGATCATACAGATGAAGCTGAAGTACATAGTCAGCGTTCACAATATATATATATATATATATATATATATATATATATATATATATATATATATATATATATATATATATATATATATATATATATATATATATATATATATATATATATATATATATATATATATATAGTGATAAGCGAGACAGACAACACCCGTTCGTCGGGCAAGCTGTTCTATTCTGCTTCTTCTTGCTCGCTTTTCAGCCCTTGGCCCACAGCTGCCGCGCCGCTCTTCGTTACATTCGGCCACACTGCGGACCTTACAAAGAAAAAAAGAAATTACAGTTCATTGTACCTGCAGAGGTCCTTATGAATGGCCCGTCGAACTTAGGGAGTAGCTTCTTGCCCGGCCCGCTGGTGCCCTTTTGCACCCAGACCTCGTCACTGATGTTGTAAGCAGGAGCGGGTCTACGGCGTCTGTCATAGTGGCGCTTATGATTTTCTTGTGCGTGGGTGGCTTTTTTGATCGCCTTAGTTCGGATCTTCTGACAGGCCGCTTTGCGATCGTTGGCACGTGGAATTATAATGGGAGCATCCAGACTGAGGACCGCTTTCAGCTGTGGTAGTTTCCCATAAACAATTTCGTAGGGCGTTTCCCCGGTAGACGTCTGCAGTGCTGTGTTAATCGCAAAAGCGGCTGACGGAAGGTGGACATCCCAGTCGGCCTCTCCTCTTTTCCCTGCCTTCGTATATGGAGCGAGTCGTGCCTGGATGCTCTGGTTGGTTCTCTCAGTAAGCCCGTTTGCTTGAGGATGAAACGCGGATGCGAAGTGGTGCTGCACGCCTGCCGTGCACAGGTACTTTTTCAGTTTCCCGCTGCGAAACGCTGTAGCCCGATCAGATATTAAATGTTTGGTAAGCCATGTCTCCATTCAAATCGGTGCTCGAGGAAGTCGATTAGGTAAGTGGATGCAAGAGATGGCACGGCCTCCACTTCCACGTATTTTGACACGTAGTCTACTGCTACAATGACGTAACGATTTCCCGCAGTGGTGGTGGGTAGAGGTCCCATGTAATCAATGCCAATCGTGTGGAAAATTGTTTCGGGTATCTGGATTGCTGTTAGTAATCCAGATGACACCCACGCAGTCGCTTAAACTGCTGGCAGATTTTCAACTGGCGACATAAGAATGGACGCTACTTTGCATCTTCGATCACCAAAAACGTTCTTGTAGTTTCTGGAGCGTGGCTCGTTGACCGGCGTGTCCGCATTTTGGGAAGTCATGAATGGCTCGTAATATTTCTGACCTGTGGGATTTTGCGATCACCAGGAGGTAACGTTCTTCGGATCGGTCCGCTCGCCAGTGACGCCGGTACAATGCGGAATTGCGCACCACAAAAGTACTGTGATTTCTCTTGTCAGTGATAGATGAAATAATGGGTGCCAAATATTTATCCTCCTGTTGGGCTCGGCATATATCCATTTGGGCGAAAAAAATGTGGGTTTGCCTGGTTTCTTGCGTGCAGTAAAGGGGGTTTCGTGAGAGTGCATCGGCGACGTTCTTTAGCCCCCGGCGCGGTGGCGCACGTCAAAATCGTATTCTTGCGGCGTGATTATACACCGGGCAAATTTGTGCTTAAGTTGCTGCTTGGAGAGCATCCATGCTATAGTAGCATTATCAGTCACAACAGTGAATTTACGCCCGAAAAGATAATGTCAAAACTTATCATCGACGCTCCATACCACTGCAACACATTCAAGCTCATTGGAGTGATAGTGGCGCTCGGTGTCTGAAAGTTTTCGGCTGGCATAAGCGACCACGTGTTCCACGCCATCTGGATTACGCTGCACTAACACAGCTCCTAGGCCGACTTGGCTGGCATCAGTGTGCGCTTCGGTGGACCAGTCTTCTTTGAAGTGACTTAGTATGGGGCAACAAGTGAGCTTTTGTTTTATAGCTCGAAAAGAATTTTCTTGTGAGACGCCCCATTCAAACCGCGCGTCTTTTTTAAGAAGACCGCTCAAGGGAGCTGCGATCGAAGCGAAGTGGGGAATAAACCTTCGCAAATACGACGCCATACCCGGAAGTGACTGAACCTGTTTCAAGCAGGTTGGTGTGGGATACTGCGACACGGGAGCTATTCGCTCCGGGAGTGGCTGAATGCCGACAGGAGATATATTATGTCCCAGGTACGAAATCTTGGACACCCCAAACTGGCATTTCTCTTGGTTCAAACGAAACCCTGCTGCATAGAGTCTGTGTAGTACTTAGTTCAAATTGCGAAGGTGTTCATCCTCCGTTCTGCCAACGACCAAGATGTCTAAGTACGCCACACAGGCTTGGTTTTTCAATGGTCCGAGCACTGAATTCATCACACGCTGAAAAGTGCTAGGAGCCGTTCTTAGTCCAAATGACATGCAGTTGAATTCATACAAACCAAAAGGTGTGCGAAAAGCCGTTTTACATCTATCTTCCTCCGCGACGTTAATCTGCCAGTACCCTGCGCGTAAATCAAGCGACGAAAAGAGCTTGCAGTGACGTACTGTATCAACAGCGTCATCAATGCGGGGTAAAAGGTAGGAGTCAGGCATTGTACACTTATTGAGCTGCCTGTAGTCCACGCAGAAGCGTAGTGATCCGTTTTTGTGGCGAACAAGGACGACTGGCGCTGCCCACGGACTCGATGACGGCCTAATAATGCCCGCGGCAAGCATTTCATCTACCTGTTCTGCGATCACTGCCCGTTCTCGTTCAGCGTATCGTCACAGTGGTGCGCATATTGGCGGATGATCTCCCGTTGGTATGCGATGGACCAGCAAATTAGTGCCTGGCAGTTCTGCTGAATTGCTAGCGAATGCTGGCTGATGGCGAGCCAATATAGAAGAAAAGGTAGGCGGACTGGACGGCTTACCTGTCGGTGGTGGCAGGGTTGTGGTGGTAGTCCCAGCTGTCGAAGACCGGAGCTCGATGTGGCCGCGATGTATGGTGAGTTCAATGTCATCAGATAGCCAGAAGTCAGCACCAAGGATCATGTCGGCAGGGAGGTCTTCAAAGACGGGAATGGCTGGAAGAACTTTAGTGCCCGCTGCCGTCCGGACTCAAATTTCGAGCATCCCGACTGGCATAGCACTGCCTCCAATTCCGCAGAGGGGAGGTTGCGCCCACAGTCGGATAGTGTCCGGAGCATGACGTCGGTGTAGCGCCGTTCGTTCCGCACCGGTATCCACCAGAGCAGATAGGTCAACTATTCCCTCAACATGAATGGACATCCGAGGAGTTTGACAAGCTTGGTAGTGGATTCTGGTCTGGAAAAGTTGACGACACTCCTTGGCGTTGTGGCCAGTGCGACCGCACTTGAAGCATCCGTGTCGTGTGGAGGCGTAAGTCGAACGGACAGTCGGTAATGTGTCCAAGCTAAGCCGACGACGAGAGTTCTGCTGAAGTTTCGCTGCCTTTTGAGCGGAAACCTGGGGTGACGCTTCAGGTGACTGGCAAGATAATATAGCAGCATGGGTAGGGTCAGCCAAGCCATCAACGACATACTGGCGGGCAGCCGGAGAGATCCATGTAATGCCACATTTGTCATATTTACGGGCGTCTTCCGATGAAGCCTGCCGACACGATCGCATGCGTATGAAATGGTCACCGTATGTGGATGGAAGTAGTGGGAAGGCCGTGACGAAGGCTGTAGTCCAGTCACTGCTGGATTTGTACTTGCAGCCATCGTATTGATGCCACGCTTTCGCGGACTCGCGCAGTCGGCTTACGGCTAGCGATAGCGTCACGTCGTCAGTCCATGCATGTCGACGGGCCAACGAATGGATTTCATCCAGCCAGACAGTTGAGTCTTGATCAACGCCAGTAAAGTCAGGAATTTCTGCCATAGACAGAGGAGGCAACGTGGTGCGTGCACACGCTGCTGAGAAGGTGACGGTGGTGTCTGCAAGACGCTGGCTCGAAGTAGCGATGGCCTGCAGAACCATGCAGAATTCGCTGGCGGTTACAGGCGAGGCATTACGCCTGTCTTCCGGCGACGGTACTGACGTTGCTCCTGGGATGGTGCCTGAGGCGAAGTCCAAGGGAGCGTGTACGGCATCCCTGGGCAAGGAGGCGGTTTGCGAAGCCAAGTCAGTGGAGTCACCTTGTGGTTTGGCAAGGACGCCTGCAGGCAGCGCGCTGGCTTCGGTACCCGCGGTGTCCATGTCGGATGCCATGGCCACGGTAGCAGGAGCTGCGGGCCGCTGGAGAGTGCGTCCGCTCCGTAGGAAGGTTTCTTCACGCAGGTAGTCGCACACAGGTTCGTTTAACGGCTGCGCCATTGTAATAAGCGAGACAGACACAACACCCGTTCGTCGGGCAAGCTGTTTGTTTGTTTGTTTGTTTGTTTCCTCTAATCCATGGCTCGTACCCACTCTGGGGGATTGGCCAAGAGAACATATAGTCTCATATGGACAATAACTTCATTATTACTTACAACGAAAAAAAAGGGGGGGGGAGTTGTGTAGTGAAGACAGTATGTTAAAAAAAGAAAGAAACCAAAGATTTAGATAGTGAGAAAAAAGAATCAACAACAAAGTAGACACTAATAGCTACAACTTGATTTTGGGAGCCGACCAGACAGCTGGTTTTGCCAAACCCGATTATTTTGGTATTCACAGATTTATCCAGAATTGAAAATTACTTTTCGACCCGGTTTTTTTGAGTATCTGTTAACGTGGGCTTTATGTTGAAAAACGTTTAGAGTCTTGAATAAAATTACACACCGCATCGAATGCATCTCTGTGGCAATTTCTCAAAACAGAGGCACCAAAACTTAGAACATTTTCTGTGGTTAAATTTAAACCTAGCTTCGCAAATGGAATATCTAAAAGTCGTTTCCTAATTAATGCATATTTACTACATGAGCCAAAATAATGTTCAATAGTTTCTGATTCCTCACAGAACGGACAAAGGGGGGAAAGTGTCAGACCAGCTATGTGTAAATAAAAATTTAATGGGGGGACACGGCACCAGAATCTGGAGATTACAATATCAAGTTGTTTTGATGGACTCCACTGGGCTTTCCATGGAAATTTGAGGTGCTGATAATCTGTCCATTGTGTGATATTTTCTAAACTATCTGTAAAAGTAGCGAATTTCCTATATCTAACCCCTGATAAGTATTCTAACTCGGGAAGTACTGAAATTACTGGTCCATCGAGTGACGCTCGTGCCAAAGCATCTACCAATTCATTTAATTGTAATCCTCAGTGACGTGGGACCCACACTAATTTGAGGAGTTTTAAATGCGGCGGTGCTAATGTGTGGAACGCTGCTAGGGCACGAGATTGTTCAGAGGTTGTCAGAGCTGCACACACCGAAAGTGAGTCTGTTAGAATGATTGCACTGGTCTCGGTCGTAGGAATTTCACGAAGAGGCAAGCTGTTCTATTCTGCTTCTTCTTCCTCGCTTTTCAGCCCATGGCCCACAGCTGCCGCGCCACTCTTCGTTACAATATATATATATATATATATATATATATATATATATATATATATATATATATATATATATATATATAATGTGGGCATTTGTTTCTTACATCGTCCTCATCCCTGCATGATCACAATCAACATCATCCGCTTGTCTCTTTGTCCTCATTGCCACTCTGGGTCATCATCATCGTCATCGTCTGTGTACTGGCTCTGCCCGTTCGTTTTGCGAGGTCTTTTCTCAATTAAACGCTGTCGAAACCAAGACTACCAAGTCTTTATAATATATATATATACAGAGGTGACACGACGCACTTTATTAAATGCCACGAAGTTTAATCACACTTTAAAAGGCTGAGCGAGGCCGAGGAATGTCACCTTAGCCCAATTTCTGCGTCCAATATGCGACGCTCATCTTGCTATCGCGCCTTTCTCTCTTTCTGGGATTATGCTTTGGCGATAACATCTACAGATACCACAATAGTTTGTTTATTAAATTTATCATGGATGTTAGTCGTCGGGGTGGAGATGTACCAAGAGTCAATCAGGACACATATATAAACGTTAAATGGGGCTATAGCTGACAAACACCAAAACACACATTCGGCAAACCCTCATTTATCAATGTGCAGTAAATATTCAAAACCTTTGTAAAGGTGCGTTATACTTTCGCGTTTTGCTGCCTCTGTAGCTCCAACTTCCAAGTTACCATAAACATGGCTGATCAGGCTTATCAGACACTAAAGCGGAAACAATTTTTGGCGTTTCAGAGCGGAAGGACTCAAACATAAAAAAAACGATTCGTCACACTCACTTGCTCGCAACAGCTTCGACATGCCATTTCGAAGAAAATTATTTTCCAGTCCATAAAAAGTTTGCTTGTTTCAATCCGTAACTACATCAACAAGTCACAGCAGAATAAAAGCCTGAACACGGTGACGTATTATTATGGCGCCCCTACGTGCAGCGCTTGCCTCCTCTACATTACTTTAGCACAAGACGCGAAAACATCGCAAAGGCGACCCGCACCGCAAAGAACCTACAAGAAAAATTATCATTGCGAAAAGGTTACAAAACTTCACTATGTTGTAACATTGCCTCGCAACATTTTTCTTCTCCTGTTAGAACATAATTGAGTTATTCCTGTTGTGACGGAAAACTTTGCCTTACTTGTTGGTTCCCTACCCTGCAACCAAGAGCAAGAACGACCACTGTCAAAAGTGGGGGGCGGGCTAAGCCCCCCAACTTTTCACAATGGGGTGCTCGCGCCCCCCTTGCCTCGCTGGCTGGTACGCCTATGTGGCCCATGTAGTCTTTTCGGCATTCTTGATGAAAGCGAGGTCTGGCGTCGTGTCTCTCGTCACAGAGTTGCCTATCCGCGTAGGAAAAGCCTTATCAGTGATTAAGGTAGGGTCTAGTTCGGTGGCGTCCTGCCAGAGGTCTCGACCCTTTCTCGTCTCATGCACGTTTCCCCATAAGCCATTTGGGGCATTGAAGTCTCCAACTATGACGAGGGCCGAGGACTGGCTAATTCAACTGCCCTCTCGAGTACGTCTTGAACTGCTGGCGCCTGTGCCTGGGGTTACTGTATACATTCAAAACAAAAACACTGTTTTTCCACTTATTGCGCAATGGTATGTCAAGCAGAATCTCTACCAATACATATTCGATATCGCACCTGGCTAGCCTCAAGTTGTGGGCGACGTGTGTCAGCTTTTTACTTATTAGTGTGCAGACACCTCGTCCTCCTGACTAGCCAGGGACTGCCCGGTAACCAGAAAGGGACGCTGCAGAGGCTAAAGTCTCTTGAAGGGCCACAATTTCAGGTTTGTCCGTTATTGTTCGAAAGTACTGCTGCAGGAGTGCTCTTTTACCAGCGTAACCCCTGCAGTTCCACTGTCAAATACAGACAGTACCTTTATCGTTATCCATTATGGATTCTGCTTTCATCACCGCCCTGGGGGAGGTCAGCGTGGCTCGAAAAATGTGTTCTTCTTCGTAATTAACTCCTGGGCTGTCGATGTGTACGGGAATGGCAATTTCCACGTTGCCAGGCGACGCACCCTGTGGCACAGATTTGGGCAGTTTGGCGTAATTTTCTAGCGCGTTGATGCGCTCGTTCATTGCCTTCAGCCCCTCGACTGAGTCACTGAGTGCAGCCTGCATTTACCTAACACTCTCCGTGAGGATAGCTACACACCCTGCCGCCATCTTAATGTTCTCTGTATTGTAATCAGCGTTTGATTAATCTCCTCGACTTGAGATTCCGTGTTCTGAAGCTTACTCACTACCGCTCTGCGTTTGGTTGCCATGAGCGCATCTCCAATAGGGGCCGACGCCGGCGTATCGGTGGTTTCACCTTCAGTGTTGCTGTTCATCGTGCTCAGCATTCTTTTAAACTCTGCCATTTCATTTACCATCTTGCTAAGCGTATCCTTCAGCTCAGCGTTTTCCTTTTTCAATCGTAATATCTCCGCGTCTCTAGCATGCTCTGGGGACGGGTCGCATTGCATGGGTTGCTCGCCGTCATTACTACGAATCCTGTCGGCCCAGGTTAGGTTTGACTTGCCCCTGCTCTGGTCCTCGGTGGCGTGGACTGCCCCCGACAGCTGGAGTCCCTGTGCGTGCCCGAAGTCTGCCCTGGGCGAGGAGTCCGGTCCGGTATCCGAAATGGGCACGGGAGCTGGGACGTGGTCTGGTGCCACCCCTGGATTGAGACCGTCTCCTGAACATAGAGCGGGCCCAGGATCTCGAACGGGGCCCCAGACGCACCCTGAACGTGGAAGGACTCCTGCAGCTGCCTCTGGTTCTGAATTTCCCTCGTGATTTGAATCGGCCTCCAGGAGCTGATGGTCCTGGCTGGCCCGGCTGATGATAGTCGTTGAGCTCGAGGAAGCTATTGACGTTGACGGATGGATACCTCTCCCGAAAGGCGCGGGCACTCAGGCCTCAACTGCGCCTGACGACATAGGGTATCGATATCGGTGCTGGCATTCCCTGGTTTCGGTGAGGTGTTTTTCGCCACACAAACTACATATTGGTTCACAAAAATGATCCTCTTGTTGGATAGCTTGTCTGCAAGCCTTGCAGACTGAAGCGACGGGCGTCGGGCAGACGTCATAGCGGTGTCGTAGTCGGTCGCAGGCATAGCAAACATCGATTTGCTTCCTGTATAAAGTGCACTTGATGAGAGTGCCGCCATAGGGAACATAATTAGGAACCTTGTACCCGTCGAACATCACTATGATGACGCCAGTATTCTTGATTTCTTTTGCTCCGAGGGCCAGTGGATTTCTTGCGTTGACAGTCTTTCGGTCGATAGCTCCTGAACCAACACGAAGAGGGATCCCATAGATGACTCCCTTGCAGGTGGCATGTGGAGCAGCCACATATGCACCGACTTCGTGGCGCTGTCCGGCCACCGTAATAGCTTGAACGTTAACGTAGCGTTTAACATTCTGTTCGCTCGAAGTACTGATGACCATAATATTTTGCAGGTGATCAGAGCACATTGTGTTCGTGTTTCTCTCGTCCGGACCGAGCCCCGCCGCACTCCATATGGCCTCTGCCACGACAGACGCACCAGCCTTGCTAATACACAGACCACTTCTCGACCTCACGATGACCTTAGTTTCTTCAGATGGCAGCGGTGGCATCTTGCTTCCCCTTATAAGGTTTTTCCTGACATCTCTGAAGCTGCGATGGCTGGGCGTAGCCTCCAGAGCGTTCGTCTTAGACGCCGGCGTTCTGGTGCCAGCAGCTTTACTGGCGTTCCTCACTTCCGATCGTCTTCTCTTCACCGTAATCTATCCGGAATCCTCGTTATTCTCTTCAGCGTCCCCCGGGGCTTTCGATGATTCATCTTCCATCTCTTAATGTGGCGAGAACAAGAACTTTTTCTGTTTGAGACGCGGTGCCTGTGCACCACGCAGACAGCTGTACGGCCGGGCCGAACGACGGCGTCTGTAGCTGCACACTCGGCGTCGTCGTCACGAAAGTGACTTATGAATGTACAAATAGTGCACCCACCGGTGCGATTCTTGTGTCCACAGCCTACCGATGATCTTAGAAGCTGTTGCGACCCAATTTCGGGTGAACGCGGCCTCACAAAACACCAAGAAGCGAAATCACTGGAGCCGGTCGCAACGCGTTCGACCTGCTCGGCGCCATTTGAGTCCACCTCCGTGCGTGACCGCAAAGCGCGAGAGGTTCTATCCGGCCTACTTGTTTCCAGTGTCCCGTCTTTGTTGGCGCTCTACCTTTATTTTTAGTCAGCTTATCGTTGCGACAGCCGCATGGCAGCCCGTGCGGCATGGTATGACGCACGGAGAAACAAGGGTTTGGCGGCTACCAGCGGCTACTGCGTCAACTCTACGTGGCTGGCGCCACCCCACAGAATCTGGCGGCGCAATCCCAGAAAAAGCATGGCCGGGCTAGACGGCATCTGCACGCTCGATTCTTACGGCTTTAGCATTGTGTGTAGTACATACCTCTCGCCGCTTTTTCGAGGGGGGCGCTGAGACCCGGGCCTTCCTAAGGTCCCTAGATGAAACAAGGTGGCGTCACTCATTGTTCTCGAGCCGTCCTCCTCACTCTCTCAATTACTCCTCTTTTTCTCTGCCATCCGCGTCTGTAATTGGTGCATTACTTGCACGTGATCTTGCAAATGGCTGGTGGTGTTATTTATTATTATGCAAAAGGTTCAGAACGAGTACGCATGCGCATATGGCTCCAGCCAGATTCTCGCCGTGACCAAAGACAAAATCGTAGCCAGAACATAAACTGAAGAGGAGGAGCGTTTCGGTGTGCGCTAAGTCGACCAAGATTGTTTCGCCGTGGTCGTTCAATGCAACATCTGCGTTTTTCAGCAATGCTGCGTTGCCGTAAACAACAGAAAATGGTTTCGCTCTCTTCAACTTACCTCGTGCTTTCCGAGATGAAGCGCACCATGAAGTGCAACTATGAACCACTTCACGCGAATGCTTTCGTGCAACTCCGTCAACGTATGTCGACGCGGATCTGCGAAGCGAGTTCACTTGTCGGTTTTTATTGAAACGCCAGGCGCGCGTCTAATGCTTGTCTAGCGCATGCCAGGTGGTACAAATACATGTGGGTATGCAAGTACACAGAGCAGCTGTAGGTTGTAATCAACGCACCTTCAGAAACATTTCACTCTTGACCAGTTTCCGTTTGAGCCGAAACGTGCTGCTTCGAGACACCTCACCAGTAGAACTCTCACTTTTCAGGCAGTTCCCAGCACCGCATCACAATCACTTGGCATCACGATTGTCCAAATGGGCACATTAAAAAAAACGTCATCGCAGTGCTGCTGGACGAGTGTTCGTACCAGTCTGGTCGTAGTTTTTTTTTCTTGCGTGTGCACAAGCCGGTTGTAATCAATCGTCACAACGTCACGCCATGTGGCCACTTACAGGATCCAGCAAGAAGCACGTTCACTGTGCCACAGCACGAACAAAACACAATCGGAGAAGTGAACTAGTTAGAACTGGACGAAATACCGCGGCCGTGGAACTAAAATGTGCTGCGCGAGACGCCATGGCTAGTGGTGTAAAGTATAGAACTGCACAACGTTGCCGGTTGAGTAACGCACATCCCGCTTGCTCTTGTGTTGTGCCGTTTATGTTCATAAAGGTAACTGTTTATTCTACGTCTTATTTCGTTCCATTTTGTTTCATTTACATCTATTCAACGTAGCAACAGAACCCAAACATTCGCTTTTGGATGAAAGTTTTAAACCTTTTAGGGGGTGCTTCAGGCAAATAAGCGAGGAGGAAAAGGGAGGGTGTCGCTACCTTGGAAACTTGTTTCATCTAGGGACCTTAGGCCTTCCTATAGGGTGCCGCGATGCGCGCGCCCCTGCTCAGGGTACTGCCACCTTTTGTACTGCTCCACCCGTCATTATAGTGCCTGCAGCGTCTTCTCCAAGCTTTTGAGCTCACGAGTCGGCTTCATTGGGCATGTTATGTCTGTATGTTCAGCTACTCAGGGCTACAACCATCGTGTTAAGCTAGTGGTTCACTACGCACCAGAGCGACACCAGTATGCAACGGGAGTGGCGATGGTGGCCGCAGCAGATGTCTTCACTCTAGGCCTTCCTTTTTTTTGCTGTATTGAGATTTGTCATAATTAAGAAGTCCGCACTATAGATCTATCGAACTTTTAAGCAGGAAATTGCCAAGGAAAGGATCTATGATAATACTCGGGGTAGTTCTCTACTATTTGAGGCCAGGACGGGAGTATTGCGAACCAAGATTTTCGGCCCAAATACGAAGGGGTAGCCATGGTATGCAGTGCGTGTGGAGAGGAGGAGGAAAGTGCCGAACACTTGATAATGTTCTGTAAAGGCCTTCGCCCCATAGTTCAGGATAATGGCGGATCCCGCAGGTCGCGGGATCAAATCCCGGCTGTGGCGGCTGCATTTCCGATGGAGGCGGAAATGTTGTAGGCCCGTGTACTCAGATTTGGGTGCACGTTAAAGAACCCCAGGTGGTCAAAATTTCCGGATCCCTCCACTACGGCGTCTCTCATAATCATAAGTGGTTTTGGGACGTTAAACCCCACAAATCAATCAATGGCGGAGTGTTTTTAAAGCACTGGGGTTTAGGGACAGGGAGGGCAAAATAGACTCTAAGCGGGTAGAATTAACTAGAAGGAGGTTATCTGATTGGTGGCTACAATCAAGACACGAGTGAAAATTAAACTTTTTACTGCAAAGTGCAAGTGCTTAACTTCACCAATAGAAAAACATATAGTTTTTGTTCACTAAGTACTACGGCTAGGTGAGTTAGCCACTGCCCGATGTAAAGGGTGCAGCCATATCAATCCATTCATCTATCGTCCGCCACACCGAGCAGCAGAGCGACGCCGGCGCACGAGTTATGCCTAGTTCACACTGAAACATCCGCTTTCTACAGCGACCGAAATTCCCCTGCCACCGAAACGCAGCGTCGTTCGCACTGGACGCGCCCCGCGCCGCCGAATATGCCATCTACTACGGGGCGAACGCGGGATGGATGCGCTGTCACCCGGTTGTTGTGACGGCTCGCAAACGCTACTACGCTATCCGGTGGTGTATACTTCGACGATTCTCGTACCCAAGAAGCAAGAAAAGACAGTACTGTTTACTTTGCTGGCAAGTGGCTGTCTTGTAATGCACGAAGAGCACAAAAACCACCGACGCCAGTGGCGTTGGTGGGTTCGTTTTGCTCTGCAAGTCCGCAAAAAGCTCGGTCACGCCAACAGCAAGCTCGGTCACCTCTTTCACGAAATACGGAGGCGAAGTAGGCACAGAGTAGGTTAAACTGCCGTTGGTTTCAACATTCAGTTACGTGCACTGCGGCATAACAAGTGAGTAGGGCTTGGCCGCCATTTTTCAAAATTCCTTGACTAGCGCTCCTATTGGTCCGCGGTGACCGATTCGGCGGCAGACGCCGCAAAAATTGGTCCGAGAGCGATCGGCGCGGAGAGGGCCCTTTCGGCGGATCTCGCCGCCGCCGAACCAGATTCGGAGCACTTTCGGCGGCCGGAATGCTCATTCTGAATGCGGCCTTAGGGCGCGCTTTTCCACTCACCGCGCATTGAAAAACAAGTTGCTTAATCGTTGAAGACGCACAAACTATTCATGGCATTTCTCATACTTGATAATGCGGGGCTTGAACCTATAAGCCTCTGAAGAGTGCACTTTGCTGGCAGTGCTACAAGCCCTGAATTGCGAGCGTGATTGTAGCCTTTTTTGGTGAAAGAAAGTGCCATGTCACATGCTCCTTACAAGTTCGTCTGGGTAGAGCATAGAGGATGGAAAGGTAGGAGAGGCCCTGACGCCACTCGTTGTGAAGCCACGGTGAAGCTGGAAGTCGGGCATAGTGATTGAGCAAATTCTCCTCTCTTGTTTACATATGAATACGAAGAAGGCGCGACACCCTGTCTGGCTCGGAAAGCACGTGGGCTTCCCAGCGCGCGTGTTGTGACGATCCGAAACTAATAGAACGGGACTCAGCACTCTGGGCCAGCACGACACCTTCATCGAAATCATTTTGTCCGAGTATTAACAGCGAGTAACGGCTTGCCTACAAAGAAGCAAGTACAAAAAAACGTGCGCTAGATGCACTGACAACGGTGAGTGTTTTCACGTCATTAATTCAGCAACTGTACAGACATCATGATCGGTCGTGCGTCTTATTTACGGTTGCACTCCGACACGAGGCTGACGCGGCGCCCGGCCACTGTGTCCGTGTTCCGCATGAAACTCACCGGCGTCGCCATTCTGCGACCATGGTGACTTTGAGCACAGTGCAAGTGACACTTGAACGTGGTCGCTCTAACGTTGAGATTACAATTCTGGGGGCAAGTATAACAAGCGTAACGGAAAATGTCTTTTGTTTAGAGAAAATTTATTGTCACAAACGTCAGTAACAGTCAACGGAACATTTTCTTATTAGACATATTCTAACGGTAATGACAAAACAGACGTCTTTTAGGGACGAAGCTTTTTATAGCGGCATCCATTCGTCCCTCGTAGCTGTTGTAGTGTGTAACAAGTATAACATTTTGACCTCCAAGGTGGTGCCGGTGAGAGAATTCTTCTGTGCGTTGTTGAACTATGAAATATAGTGCTTAATGTTCATGCCAATGGCTG